GTGTGTGTGTGTGTGTGTGTGTGTGTGTGTGTGTGTGTGTGTGTGTGTGTGCGTGCGTGTGTTTGTGTCTTATTTATACTTTGAAACTGGTTGTCTGCGTCAGTGTTGCAGTGAGACGTCCCCGCCCCCTCCGGAGACACTCTGCTGCACCTCTCCCAAACTGTAGGTGACCGCAGACAGTACCACAGACAGGGGGCCTCTGATTGGTCAAATCTACATCCGCTCTACTAATGAGTATTTCCTGTGATACCTTACCGGCATGCTTTGTTTGCAGGAACGCCCTTTAGGGACCCTTTTTCCACCTGGATCCCCGCTCTTTTTCACACTCATGTCCCTCCATTGTTGGACAAACTTGCCCCATCGTCCTCAACGCCTCGGTCATATCTAGACCCATAGTTTGTGATTTTCCCCTCTTGCGTTGTGGCGTGGAATAACATAGCGCAGACCACGCTTTAAAATTGAGAATAAATCAAAAATGTCTGCCTCATACCTGCGACAACCTCACAGCAACGCACTGCTAGGGAGTGTAACCAGCACCATAGACAGGCGTAGATAGGCAGGAGAAGATGGATGCGTGGATTGATATAACTTGCTATATAGCACTGGTATGTGGTAGGGGCTTAAACGGATGACATTCTGTCTACAAAAAAACAGCTTCTTGGTGTAACAAGGTTTTATGAAAGAGTAGGAGGAAGTGAAAAACTAGCAGATTGACAAAACAGCAAATCCTCTTCTTAAAAGTTGCTGTGACTATGCATAATCTGATTGGTTTCATAAGTAAGCCCTTGAAAATGATGCATGAAACACCTAAAAATTGTCCAATGAAAAAAAGAAATAAATAAGCACCTGGTGTCCTTCTATATAAAATGCATGCACGGTTTTTCTCTGAATACTTTCAATGTACTCTGTCTTCCTCCTATAGTCCAAAAACACAGCTGTTTGGTTAATTTGTGTTTCCAAATTTCCCCTTGGTTTGAGTTGCTTGCTCCTGTATGTCCCTTTGTTGTTTGTGATTGGCCCAGGACCTATCTAGGGTGTACCTGACCACCCTCTCTTGACCCAGATGGACAAGAGGATATAGGAGAGGAATGGATAGATACAAAATAAAAATAAAAATTCATCTCAGATGTATGTTTGCAAATTACCAAGTACTTTTCTTTGATCATTATTATAAAAGTTACGCCTGGAATAAATGTGTATGTTAATTATTCATGCAGCTGCAAAGACAGCAGTTCACATTCTTTCATATCCTACTTTATACTAAAAAAATAACAACAGTATTATAGTGTTTAAGAATACATCAAGGTTATTTGTTTATAAAGACAGAGTGTGATTTATGTGAAAAATAAACCACACTGTTCCAACACTTTAAGGATCACCTCTGATAGACACAGACATGTGTCTTCCTCAATCCCAATGTGTCTATGGTGATAACAATGAATGTAACAGATGCAGCCACTGAAACTGCACTCCAGTCACAGGCAGAACTCATGTCAATGCAGCACATGCCACCTCGCTGCAATGTGTATACACCTGACCTGGAACAAAGTGGACAACACAACCCAAACCGAGCCCGCCCCAAGACAGAAATCTCACCGTGAGCCACACTTCTCAAAACATTGATGAGACAGGCTGACACTACAGCAGAGCCAGGCAGAGGTGTGGGTGTGACAGCCCACTACCATAATTTCCTCCTGCCATTACCTGCCCAGCCACTCACAATTGTGCTCCCAGAGACAGATGCGCATGAGCACAGGTGCACAAGCCTCCACAGGAACCAAGCGTATGTACAGCACACCAAAACACACAGGACTCTGTTAAAGCTAGAGACAGCTTCTTGCTTCTCGTTTTGACTCATTGTCAGCTTGCCGGATGATTGTTGTCAATTGAGCTGACAGAAATAAGCGTATTAGCTACAACAAGCTCTGGCAATGTCTCCCTCTCGATTTGACTTAGGCAGCAAGAAGAAGTGCATAATGCTGAAGGCAGTCCACTGAGTTTCCCTAAGATGTGCATCTATTTACACCTGGTTTACTAGAGCTGACAGTGAATTGAAGTCACGGTGTCAATATGAGAACATCTCCACTGTCTGACGAGAGATGTCAGTTCAAATTGAAAGGAAAGAATTTTCAAAAATGATGCATTTATTTGATGTGTCAATGTTTGCTTCCTTAACTAGCCAAAAAGTAAGCTGTAGTACTTTCTATGCAGGATACATTTTGACAAATCTTTGCGTAAGGAACATATAAATATGTGTTATCATAGATGTAATCTATATAATCTGTAGAAATCATTAAGGAAAATTCTAAACGTTAACAGCCAGCAGACATTATGGTGTTCTTTCCTAGGCCTAAAAAGTTTTAAATTACATTGAAATGATTAAATACCTATTTCACAAATTGGCTCCCAACATGAGTTCATCTTGATATAAGATTTGCTTAAAGCTTCTATATTATATTTTTCTTTGCCTTCCAAAGTCAACTCTAGTCATATACATAATATTGCTATTGGCACAACAAAATATCAGTTTGTTAAAAAAGATATTGGTTGCTTTCTGGTGCTACCTCTGCAACTTGTAATAAAGATATGTTCATCTCCCCTTGTGAGTGCTGTCCTAGAGCCCTTTGTAAAAAGCAAGAATGTTTTGAATAAAAAAATAAATGAATTGCACATTGAGCATGGAATTCAAGGTTTGATTTAATTGTGTCTTTGTTAAAAAAAAATGCACATGCACAGCCTTGTAGTTGCTCCTGAGAGGGAATGCCTATTAAAAGTGTGCAAGAGCATGCATGAGCCCATTTCTCCTCGTGCACGCTCTGTTTAAAATTTGCTGTTTGCAACTTTCAAAAAGAATATTTAAAAATTTTCCACTGTCAGACTCACCACTGGTAAGTGAAAATGGGGAGGAGCACGTAGGACGGCCTTATGTAAACATATCACCAGAATGATTGACAATTAGGAGGACCACTTATTTGATGATCCACCTGGAAAAAGAACATCCTCCCCTGTGCCTTTAATACAAAGTTTATGGTTGAATAGATGGATGGTGAGGCAGATGGACTTTACAGGTAGGAAATAAATAAAGAACTTTTCTAGACCTGAATACTAACATTTTAACACTAATTAATGTAGAAAAGCTGTTACATGCTGAACTTTTAAAAAGGATACCTTATCTAAACAGCCTGATGAAGATGATGACAAACATGTAAACTACAAGCTCGCCTTAAAACTAACTGCACTCATTTAGTAAATGGTCCACAAGGAGCTCAGTTACAAAAAAAGGAAAAACTTTGCATAGTTATTCCAAATTCCAAACAAGGACCCTATTTGCTTTTAGTTCACATATTTTTGACAGGTTTATGATGAGAGTTTTCTCCTCTTTTTTAATTTTCTTCCAATACAAAGTATGAATATTTAAAGGTATCACAGAAGACTTGCAAACATATATTCAAACTAATTTAAATAATTTGTAAATAAGATATTGAGTTATTGTGTCCACAGATGCTTAATATGCTTAATAGAAAGATAATTCCAAAAAACAAGATAACTGAAACCATAACTTATTTTCTCCCATTTGAAAGTTTAGCAGTAAAGGTGAGAGAGGTGCTCCTATATTGATCATGTCTGTTTTCATGCCACTGAAGATAAAAAAAAAACTATTTCTCATCAACATCCATATTTTTTATGCTCAGTTTTTCTTACCTGAACTGGTTGAAACTCAGATCCAGTCGTCTTGCAAACGAGCCGTACGTCTCACCAAGAAAATTGGGGATGTCCTTAGAGTCATGTCCAATGTATGATATCTTTATGAGTGAAAAAGAAAAAACATACAAACTATAAATATAGAGACCAATTTTGATCTTGATTACTTGACCAAACAAAAATATTTACATTTGAGACAAATTTTGTGTTTTTCAACAGGCACCATTTTAAACCTTAAGGTGTTGTGAGTTTTTATTTATTTATTTGTTTTATTCTGGTGCTAATAGATGCGATAGATGTAAAATGATACAATATTAACACTAAGATGAATAGAAGAAATCCTGATAACATCTGGAGATAGTTACATTGCAACAGCCTGCTGCCAACAGGAATGACTGGTGTAAATAAAAGCAGCTATGTCTCACCTGTAATGACACTTTTACATTGTTATTAGGAGCATGTGCCTACTTTAATATAGTAAGCAATACTGAATATCTTACGTTTTCTGACATAATAACGTGACGCACGTCCATTTGAGCTGAATAATGAACTGAAAACTGAAAGCCATGTGTGTAATGCCAGTGACTGTGTCACATGACTGCAGAGGCCAAACAGAGACAATTAATTTTTGTTTTTATAATAATTTCTATTTCAAAAGTAAAGCATATTTTAGAAGAGGAGACGGTCTGACAGTTTAAGTGCAGAACTTACTTGAGTCCCATTTAAAACGACCGGTGACTCCCTCTGAGCCATCACGTCCTCCTCTGGAACTGGCACTTTGGAGTTTGTTTGTTTTTATGTTAAGCTTTTATTATTAACAGAAGGAATTTTTTAAGAGGCTGAAAACAGAACTGGTGTTCTCGAGCACGTTGTCCACATCCAGTATTGATTTCTGTGAATGTCGCGCTGCTGTGGAGCTGCTCCTGTGGAGGTTTTCTGACGCTTTGAAACTAAAGTGCCTTTCACTGTTTCCGCGTGCCGCTTGAATCAGCTGACCCGCAGTGTTGCGGAAGCACGCGCTCACCGCTCATTAACTCATTCAGCTCGGTGCTGCTGACTGTCTCCTGATGCCTGTACCGGATTTTTTTCCACATAGAGAGAAAAATTGTGCTTACTGTCAATTGAGCATCTCGCTCCATTTGTTGGACCCAAAAACTCACACCTGTTCTAATTACAAAATGATACATTTGTAAACCCTAAACCAAAGATAAACAGATATGAAAGACCAAATTACATGTTAGGAAAGAGCCAGTATTGGCCATTTTATCAGCATTTTCAGAGAAAGAGAAATATCTTGGTTGATTAAAGTAGTCTAATGATTTTCTAGATGTACAATTCAAATACACAGGGTATAAAGGGATAAGGCATTATTTGTAGCTTTTTCTAATTTTTTTTTTCAGGGCCAAATTAAAGAGGATCTTTGCCTCTTGACAAGAGCCAGTTTTGGTCTCCTATACAGCAAATTGAAAAGTGTTAAATAATATGGTGTTCAAAGACAGTGTTTATTTAGCTCTTAATAGAGTTATATTATACAAATATAACTATCAGGTGTCACATGTTAATATTTAAAATTGAGTGTTAAAAATAGTGTTACAGCTAAATCTGGAGGGGCTAAAATGGAAAAAATAACTCTTTCTCTATCAACTCTGAACTCCTATAGTGGATTTGACACATTGACAGACTCCAATGCTACAGGTACCAAACAAAGCTGAGGAAAACCTTACTCTCCATTTTGCTGTCATACATACCCGTTTACCCAGCCTGGCAAATAATTTCTCTCAGATGGTTAAATTTTTTATTTGCATTCTAACTCTATGGCGTTCTTTGAGTAAAGATAGAGCCGTGTGATAGACATTTGCTACGTTGCATTAGCTACATTGCTTTGGTGATAACCTAATCATGATTAGCTTACTTGTAATCTTTGTAACTATAGTATTGAAAAAAAGGTTTGTAGACAAATATTTTATGTATTTTTTGCCTAAATTCATCAACATCAATACACCTAAAAGAATGATTAGTGAAATGTTATCGTCAACACATGGAGCTGCGTGAATCCCCATCTATCGGAAGACTGTCTCCTATAAAATCGATGCAGCAAACGGCGGTTTAATTGGAGAAATTAACCTCCTCTGCAGTGCAGGAAAATATTTTTCAGTTTAAATTTAGTTCTCTTCAGAATTTTGTTACAAAGCAAAGTATTGAAGCGGAAATTGGCAAAGGTTCCACATTGTTACATGTTCTGAAAAAATATTTTCCAACTTTGATGCACTTTTGAAATAAATATTCGCTGAAAAAACAAACATTACTTATTTATTTGTTTATTTTTCCAAAGGGATTTTTATATGTTCAGAAAAGTAAAATTTGTAGTATTTAGAGAAAAACTCCTATGTAGTTAGGAAAATATTCCATGAGAGTGTTGCTATTCCAATTCTAACACCTAGTTGGTGTAATTAAGTGGTAAATTATCAACTCCAGAAAGATTTATTATTTAACACTAAATAAGAGTTACAATGCCAACTCTCCAAAAAGAGTCAAATTAACACTCACTGGTGTGGACCCATATAGACACTTCAAGGGTGTTAAAATCAAATCTGACTGTGTTGATTTGAGCATGTTGGATTTGTTGTGTACCCAATAAGTATGGGCAGAAAACTTGTGCCATATGAAATTAATAGTTGATTGCCCTGACTAATCTGGATTCATGTAAGTTTTCTTACCAAAAAAATGCCAGAAGTACTCTTGCGTTTCCACATAATATAACAATGTTTTATATGGGTAGAAGCTTGTGCCATTAGCTGTATTTAATTATCAGGAACTGATTTATAATTGCACAGAATAAATCTGTATATGAAAAATTTTAACAAAATCTATTGGTTAAAAGGCTGCTCAGTGGCGCAGTGGGTAGCCCTGCTACCTTGCAGCATGTAGTTAGCATGTTCTCCCAGGGCATGCGTGGGTTCTCTCCGGGTACTCATCTTTCCTCCCACACTCCAAAAACATGACTGTTAGGTTAATTGGCTTCTCTAAATTCTCCTTAGGTGTGAGTGTGTGTGTGAATGGTTGTCTGTCCTGTTTGTATCTATGTTGCCCTGCGATGGACTGGCGACCTGTCCATGGTGTACCCTGCCTCTTGCCAGTAGACAGCTGGAGATAGGCACCAGAGCCCCTTGCGACCCCACTCAGGATAAAGCATGTCAGATAATGGATGGATGGATAAAGGCAAATGAACCTAAATTAAAACTGTGTTTAACAATTTAAACATTTAATGATTTGAAACTGAACTAATTTGCTTTATAACTGTATTTCACTGGATTGTAAACTAAGTTTTACAAATGTCACTTTTTTCTACCGATAGGAATTACCTTTCATGGTGGAAAAATTAGCAAAGACAACAGGTTTTAAGAGGGTTTACTCAACAGAATTAATCAACAACTGGGAGAACTAGGATTGATCATATAAGAGCAAGGATGAGTTCTAGCTGCTAAGAGCTGCTTGAATATGTTTTATTGTCTGTGTTTCTGCTTTCTGTTCTACAATTTGGTTTCAGTTCTAAAACTGTGTTTCTGTTTATAAGACAACAAGGTCCTTAAGTCACAGAGTAACAGATTGGCATCACACATCAGGTTACATTTATTTTCATCACATTTTAGGTTCAGGTACAGGAGCATAAACATGTAATTTTACCATATCAAAAATATTGATAGCGAAAAAATGTAACTCAGGGGGCACACTATGCTAATTTACTGTCTTTAGTTAATAGCTAAAGGGGTGAGGTGCTCACTGAATGTCTAAGAAAGTGGAAGCTGGAAATTGAGGTACAGGAGGAACCTTCATGGGAGGAAAAACCCCTGCATGGGATGTACTACCGACAGATAGCTGAAGTGGCTTCTTTCTAGGAATCTTGGCAAATTTATTAATCCTCAGAAACACTATCAGCCCAGGGCGCAGACCAGGAAGCAGAGTTGTAGTCGAACCCAACCCTCTGCAGCTTCTCTATTGTTACCCACTCATTATTTCACCCAGACAGTGTCTTGCCCATGACCAAAATCAAATAAATCGGAAAAGAATCCTGAAGGAAAAAAACCATGATAATCTAATTAAAGCTAAAATTACTCACTCCATGGAAAATGTTCAAATAATAAAACTTGGTCTATTTAATATAAGATCTCTTTCTTCAAAGAGTCTGAAGAGTTAATGATGTGATCTGTGATAACCATTGGTTTATGTCTTATTACAGAATCTTGGCGGCAGCAAGAGGATTATGTGATTATAAATGAGGAAACTCCCTCTAGTAATTTAAATGTTCAATCCAGTGAGAATGAAGAGCAAGAGCAACAATCTTCCTGTCTGATTTATTGGTTATTACAAAGCTAGTTTATAATTACAACTTTTTTGAACATTTAACCCTTATTTTCCTTCATCTAAATTCCAAATTTATATTAGGGAGATTTTAGTGCAGATTTCTGTTTTTTCATGTTAAAGATTAATTTTATTCAGGCTCCAGGTTTACTTGTGGAGCACCACAGGGATCAGTGCTAGGGCTAACTCTCTTTATTATATATTTTCTCCGAAATAGTAGACCTATTAGACAGCATGTGATTAATTTCTGGTGTTATGTCAATGATACTCAGCTCTATCTATCTGTAAATCCTGATACCCATTACATTACATAATGCTGCTATAGGGTTAGACTGCTGGAGGACATATGGACCACTTTTCATCATTCTGTTTCACTATATCTATACTCCCCAACCCAGTCAGCCTTGGCAGATGGCCACTCACACTCAGCCTGGTTCTGCTGGAGGTTTCTTTCTGATAAAACGTATTTCCATTTGCACTTTTGCAACATGCGTGTTTGATGTGAGGGATTGCTGTTGAGTCAATGAGTAGATGCAATAAGCTTATTTTCCTTAGAAAGAAAACTTTGAACCAAACTGATTGTATGATCTGACTGATTTTTCTCTGTAAATTGCCTTGAGATTATGAGTGCTGTAAATTGGCCATATACAAGTAAACTGAATGGAATAGATATGAACCAATCCTACCAATGGCTAGAGAAGGCCTGGCTTAAGGATGGCACAAAAGCACTGATCATGGCAGCACAGGAGCTGGTCTGAAGGACCAGAGCAATAGATGGCCAGATCTACCTAACAGACTAAGTGCAGGCTATGGAAAGAGGCTCCAGAAACAATCCAGCATAAGATATTGGCAGGAAAAGAATACATGGGACATTAAAATCAAGTGGCTGGTATAGTGTAACTAGACATCTGTGCAGAATTCAAACTAGCTAAGATTCTGTGGGACTTTCAGATAGAAACAGACAGGAGTATGAGGGATGGGTATGAGAGCAGCCTTCTTTCTATGAAAACCTTTTCACGATGTTTATGATTAAAACTGTAATGCATCTAGAGATGCTAAGGACAGTACAGAAACTACTGCACTAAAGAGATAAGAATGAGAGCAACTCTGTTCAGTATAGATTCTTAAAATTGTTTCATTTTGGTGCTGATAAATGCTGTGTTGCACTGAATTAGATCCCTGGTCACCAAGGCACACTACTCTGCATATTTCAAATGTTTTCCAGGTCCATTACATGTGATTTCAATCAATATAGTTGAATTAAACGATTTGTTAAATAGAAATCGTCTGAATCATGTATGTTAAAGCACAGAAACATTTACAACCAGGGGCAGAGCACCCTGATGAGAGGGGTTTAAAAAACCTATAGTAATGCACTAAATGATTCCAGTTTCTTATAGGAAAAATGAAGAGATCCAGTAGAAATTTAAACGTCAGAAGCCAGGCCTGAGGAGAGGCATGTTGTAGCACATGGAGCATTGCTGGGCTGAGCCATGGAAAAATAAGCACCCAAAGACAACTAATG